TAACTATTACCTCCAGTAGGTATTTTACATCAAGTATTATATTTTGAAAATTTGCTACGTATTATGAAAAACAATTTTTTTCTTATTTTGAATTTTTTCATGGCAATATGGACAGTCCGATAATTTTGCACAACAGTTGAAGCCTAGAACATGTTTACAGGGTAACAGAACAATGTTGATTTTTTCCATCATACAAATCTTGCACACCAATTCATCTATTGAATCATCAGCTTTCATATCATCTAAATCACAAGGCATAATATCGTAATCAAAATGGTAGAATCCCCGCTTTGCCAACTCTTTTTTACAGGTATACACCCTACGCTCGAGTTTCACTGTGTCAATGGGTTTAAAACTTTCTCTTTCGTCCTTAAAGCTTCGTGGTGCATTTGAAATTGCCTTTGTTTTTAGATATTCTTTGTGATCATTAGCGTCATTTGAGGCTTCGTCTTGATGCAGTGTATATTGTGACTTGTTCACAACTGTTCTTGTGCTTTCATGAAGCTCTTCCATACTCTCTGAATCCAAAAAATCTAAACTTTGTTCACTTAAATTTCCAAATATATCAACAATTCGGACACTCATCAACAACTGGCTGTTTAATAATATGGTATTTTATTTAAAATAATGCATTTCTTTCAATTTTTTTAAACGTCCCCCTCCATTCTTTTTCCCCTCAAAGATTGTTGTAAGTATTGTAAAAATTTACCACTACCTATTCTTATTAACTACATAGAACCTAATCACAAGCGGATTCTCACACCACGATGCTTTTCCCAATTATTCTATTAGCAATAAAATCTTTGGCTATTGTTCTCTTCATCTTCAGACCCCGCACTTTTTCCGCACCAATTTTAACATTTTCCGCACCAATTATTACATTTGACATAAATGATTGAATTCAGACTTTTAAAAATTAACAAAAATATTTTCTGAATTTTTGGGCAATTTGTTATTTTTTAAATGGTCTTTGATTAAGTATCATGCATTTGATAAACTTTAAACTTTTTGTCTCCATTTCGCACCAATTTACATATTTTCTACCTTGTTCAAAAAAAAAATTAAATAAACAAAAATACTTTTTGTAGAAGTTTGCAAATTAAAAATGTTTCCGACATTAAGGATTATTTTCGTTAAAGTTTTAGATAAACTCTAAAACAAAAATTTTTTTAAAAATAATAATTTTTGTTCATTTTTGACTCAAATATAAAATTCTAAACCTTAAAAATAAACCTTAAAGATTTTTATGAAACCAGTTTTATTCTTTTCAAAAAATTATTATAAAATGCAAAAAGAATTTTTTATTTTTAAAAACCAACTTTTTGAATGTAAATAAAATATATTTTCCAAAACTTTTGATTCCCAGAAAATGTGTTACAATGAGGAAAGTGGTAAAAAAGTCACATCGCATGCCTATTGTAATTTCCAAATATTTGAAAAATTTTAAATTTAAAATAGATTTTATGTTCATTCGAATGCATCTCTAATAAAGGTGCGATAAAAGCCATTATTTGAATTAAAAATTTTAGTTTTTGAGTTTTTATAACCAAGTTTTAAAAGTTTTTACAAAAGAAAAATCATAATGACTTGACAAAAAAATTTGAATTTTTTTATTTTGAACGTGGTAAAAACAATATTATACAAGTTTTTGAACAGAAACTAAAACCGGATTTGAACCCGGGATCTCGGGATCAACAATTTCCAACACCGTATGCCCGGGATTGAAATTTCGGGCCGGTATTGAAATCCCTAGTGCTCAACATTTGTACAAAAACATCAAAGGTCCACTAAAAATGTTCAAAAACGTCCACAATATTCTTTATTACACATGACTTGAAAAGTTTCTTCGTGCTTAATTTACGCCAGTTGGCTCAGGCTGATTCGAAATTTCGCCTTAAAAAAACTATGAAGACACCTTTAATGTTATGATAAGCACTTATTATTACTCCAAGAGTTAACATTAAAAATCCCTATGAGATTTACAACAGTGATGTCAGTTCATACCATAGCTATCGTAAGAGCAAACTCGTTCAAGTTATGCTGCATTAACCAAAGCAGATTCTAATTGAAGATAATTTGAAGAATTGTGGACTTGAGCATGGCAAAGATGAAAATTTTTAAAGTATTTAAATATTTACACAAAAGGGAACTGCATGCAAGAATGCCTCCTCACTTATGTCATACTGCTTTTTTTTTTAAAAAAAAAAGTGAATTTGAATAAATTAAAATTATCATTTCAAAGTATTACCTATCAGCAGAATAATAATGACGACTCTCAAATTCGACAATGATTTTAAGACCTTTTTACATCCTAAAGAAACTATTTATGTGAACTATTATTAACAATATATAAATGCATTTTAAACATTTTTTTTTAAATTTATGACCATTCATATTTGAACCTTTCAACACATATCCTTTTTCTACTCATTTTTAAAAACCTCATCTTTTTTTTTACATTACATCAAAAATCGTCATGGTGCATCGAACTATACATTTTGCAAAAAAAAACACTTGTTTCGTAAAAAATGTCACACATATGTTCAGCAGCCTTTGTTACATTTTAAATTTTTGTTTTCAAACCTTCTCAAATTACAACCCCCCAAAAAAATAAACAGATTTCAACAAACTATTTAAAAGATAAAAAAAATAAACACCTAAAACAGCATCTCAACTACCAAAATTCACAATCGCCAGTATCAGGTTTCACAAATTATCACTAAAATCATATTCAGCTTATCAACCCACGACCGTAAATTTCAACAGCCGGTGTTTAAACTTACATTTTAAATTTCTCAAGCCTTCTTAAATTACAACCCCCAAAAAATAAACACATTTTTTTTTTTAACACACTATTTCAAAGATAAAAAAAATAAATAAATACCTAACAACATCTCAATCAACAACATTCACAATCATCAGGATCAGGTTTCACAAATTATCACTAAATATCATGTTCAGCCAAACAACCTAACACCTGCGGATATTAAAATTTGGAAGATAGAGGCAATCCTTCTACTGAAGAGACATTGAAAAATTTTCCCATAAAGACTAGTTTGAATGCTTTTGACATGTAGATAGATAGGACATAGAAAATAATCGTAATCGGTATAGGGGATGTTTGGAAGTGATGTCTATTAAATGTGTAGACTGTTTCTCTTGCTCTTTTACATCTGATCGAAGGCTTAGACATTCAAGATTACTTTTAAAAGCAATATAGAATTAACATCGGATCATAGCGTAGCCAAAACCTGATTATGATCCCAAAGCCTAAGTTTGAAGTGCAATACATCTTGAGATCTACTCCCTACCTTCAAATGTTGGACATCATTTTAAGCATTCCCACAGATAAATACTTAATTCTTCAATGATAAAAATTTTTAATATCCAACAATACAAATTTTATATCCATTAAGTTTACGTCAATTAAAATCTTCTCTTATTTAATATCCCTTTTCTATATCTCTTACTTGTTACTCGACTTATCTAAAATGAGATTTTTCCATTGAAAATTATAATCATCATTTTGATGATGATTGTGATGGACATCTTTTTATACTTTATGAAGGATGTTCATTATTATCAAATATCCTTGCGTAAGCAAATAAATTTTATGATGAGTTGCTTCATTCGCACTAGAACTCTTTTTATTAAAATCCTGTTTGAAATATTCTGCAAATGTTGAGTGACCTGAAGCGAGTTCAATGATATAAATAGACATATCATATCGATGTGCTTGCTTTGGGACATTTAATCGCTTTGTGATCAAAAAAAGTCAAACTGTGAAAAATAAAAATGTCACTATGAACAGCAAATAACAGCTTTTATTGCATAGCAGTATTTGAATGTGATTCGTATTGCTGCCTTTGTCTATTTTGTGCTTTATTGAAATTGGAGATGAATTTTCTACATGTTCAATCAAAATTTAACATAAAAGCATTTCACATCATAAATCCTAACACTGTTTAACCAAAAAAATTCACCAAAGAACAAGGAAGTAAAGATTAAACTCATGTCTACATAATAAATAGAATTTCATTGACATTGATCGATTTACTTACACTTTCTTAATGCTTCAAATACATCTGAGTCAAGCGCTCAGTAGAATAAAAATAAAAGTACAATTGGTTGAAGCATCAGCGAAGTAAAAGCAATCAGAGAGCACTCCAAGATTGATGCTAATTAATTAAATTGAAACCTAATTACTAAGCTATAAAAACAGTTGATGCATAATTGATGACCTTCATTTCGACTTTTTCCACTTTATTACCAAAACGTTTTGCTTTCTTTTTCTCATCTTCTGTTTGCTTCTTCTTTTGCCACAGCATGCTCATCACACAAGAAAATTCAATTAGACACACATATAATGCTTATGTGATGGATATACATAAAGGAGGAGGAATTGGTAATGAATAAATGTTGATTGTTTATTATTGAGCGCATTTTACGACATAACAAGTAGTTGAGGCTTTCTTGAACTCCTAAATATTTCCAATTCCTCAATTTTTCGCTCTTAAACTCGCTGTTTCCAAGGCCAGACTACGATAACTTATCAATTAGTGCCATAAGTGACATTATGTATGTAAAACCAGAATGGCCTCATCCCTCTCAAATTCGACTTCAAATCGAGCCTTTATATCACTCAGATGCACAACCAAAGACAAAACAGCGCCAAAACTCTCATTTTCTCAAAAACTCCTCCAAAAAAGAATCCGTGTAAGTCTAAATAGAAGAAGAAATTCCAGCCTTAACGTAGGTGGAAGATTGATTTATACTACAAGTCAAATTCAATTAACTTTCATGTAGCAAGTAACTCTATTGAGATGATAATTGATTTTTATCCACAATTTGAGGATAAACAAAGGTTCATTTCGTAGAAAGAGGAAGCTGCTCTTGGGAAAAAAGGCAGGACAGAGTCTAAATGTATCGTCGGTCATGTTCACTTTATATAACATTTGTCTTCCCTTGACCTCTAATAATTTATCCATCTCCCCTTTCCAAACTGACTTTTACTCTTCTCTCCGTTACTCTACATTCATGGCTTTATATGTATAATGACATAACAAATGACAAGTCCATTAGAGGAAAGAATAACAACATATAACAAAAACATCGGAGTGGATACAGCAAAATGATACGCATAGTTCAGTTTCCTTTTATTTGTGCGTGACTGTTGGTTCCATTTTTCTTTGTCATGTAATTTTTGGATGAATATATTGTTGAGTAGCGGAAGTGAGTTCATAAATGTTAGGTGACGAGAAATTTAATTATGCTATATTGCATCAGGGAGTCAAAATGCAACTTAATTAAAAGAATTCGTCCAACTATCCCAAAACTGAACATTTTGATTGCAATTTTTAAAATAGGTGGGAAAAGTATCCACAAGTTTATTACTTATTAAAAGCCAAGCTTCACAACATAATAAACTTATCTGGCAGGCTTGGTTCCAAATTCCATGCTACTCTGCTGCCATCCAGGCTTCAAGCTGATGTTCCATTCTAATGAACTTTATGTTTTGGAACTTCAACTTTTTTTACAATCTCCTTCTTTGTAATTTCAACAATCTCCTTTACAAACATAGTCTTACAGATCATTCTAGTAACAAACACCAAAGCAATAACCAACCAAATAATAATGACCTTAATATCCCAAAAGTGTGATCCTAGAAATGGCAATTTATAATTCGTAGCCTTTAAATGTGTGATTTTCGGATGTCTCATAATAAATTCACACCACCAAACAGCACGCTCGATTGGCTTTTCTGGCTGATCCTTGAATAATTTTGATCTCTGCTGTACATTTTTGCGGTATTTTGGGTTATGCAGAACTTCCACAATAGCTTTTCTTAATTTTTCAGAATTAATTGTATGATAATCGACTTTGACTCCAATTCCATTTTGTACTGATTTGTAGCAGTTCCTATGTTGATCAGCAACGAACGGAATAATTACCATTGGAACTCCATGCCATACAGCTTCATGAATTGATAACAGTCCACCATGTGTAATGAATACTTTTACTTGTGGATGAGCTAAAATGTCATTTTGTGGAAGCCAATCTTTAATCATGACATTTGATGACAGTTCCTTTAACATTGCTGGCGATTCAAACTTCCATAAGAAATTATAGTCAGGCATGTGTCGAAAAGCTTCAATAATATTCATAATTGCATGCTCTCCGATTTCATCAGACTTTATGTTAGTTCCAAGCGCCATTAAAATTGTTCCTTTCTTGCCTTTTTTAATGAATTCATTTATGTCATCAGGAACAACTTTTGGATCATTAATCTGTAGTCCACCAACTTGGATGACATTTTGTGGCAATGGCTCTGGATAGTCAACAGCAGGATGTGAGTTAACAAGCATAATTGAAGCCTTTTTGTCTAAATCATCACCATAAGGTGTTTCAGATCCGTAAATTTCCTTCATGTGCTTGTCAATTGCGGGGGTTGTTGAGTATTTTCGGTAGCTAGGAGACACAAACAATGTCAGCACTTTAAAACTCTTTAAATAAATTATTTTTATCATACTCACAATGAGTCAAAGAAATTAATGAATCCATTATGCATTCGCTGACCAAAACTCATGTGTTCATCATAATACAGCAAATAAAAAGGCTTTACTGTCAATCCAAGCTTATCTCCACCGACAATATCAACAGTATATGGAGGGTTATTGAACGCAGAAATTCCAACAAGCGGTGGATATTTAAATTTTGGCAATAAGCCAAGTAAACAAGGTCCACACACGTAATCATTAATGACGAGATCAAATTTGAAGCTGTTTGGGTATTTTTTGATGACTTCAATGCCTTTACTCATTTTAATTCCTTCACACAAAATTTTATTGAAATGATGGAACGACATGACATATTTTAATGGCGATTGCTTGCTCATGTCTAGGAGGTTGATATGACCAGAATCACTGTCGAGATAAAAAGAGGTTGTTTAAAATATTAATTGATACTTATGTCTGCTAAAAATCATAGCTTTTGGTCATGGAATTGTTCGAAGTTTAGTCAGGATTGAATGAGTCGTCGACTTGCTTCGGATTGTTAAGACTCCAACAAAAATAACTCACTTGTAACAATGCTCATAAACTTGATCCAAATGGATGTAATGAAAATTTTGAATCACTTTATTGCTGACATCAGGTGAGACAAATGTGACATTGTGTCCACGTAATGCAAGCGCTTCAGCTAATGCTTTGTTATAAATGTAATGGCTGGGACTGTAAAGAGTTTAAAATTATTTATAACTCTTCCGAATTCAGCATGAGGTCATACCTAGGGACACCACTAAGAAACAGAATATTTGAGTGCAAACTTGCACTGCAATTTATTACAAAAAATCCAAAAACAAATAAAATGAAAGAAAATTTCATTTTAAATCTTTGCAGGTTCCACAGCAGTCAAAATATAAAAATCAACTGAAGAACATCGCGTCTTTATCACACATGTGTGTCTCTCATGACCTTCGCAAGAATTTTGTTTTTATTTTAAAATGTAAATAGATTGAGCTGAGAAACTTCTCCTTGTGTTTTGGTGTTTACAAAATAAATGATACATTTTATTTCTGATGCGGATAGGAGCTCATGCTTATCTGTCTGCATTTATTTGATGGATATATTATTTGGAGGTTTGAACCCTTTGAAGAACTTATTTTTAGACTAAAGATGTTGTGTGAATTCTGTTTAAAAATTTACTAATTTCTCTGCTACACTTCATTAAGCACCGCTTTGAAATTATCGCAATGAAATAATCTTGCAAATTTATAATTATGAAATCCGGTTTGGATTTATTTTTAACTTAATAGTTCGTTAGTATCTGCTCTGCATCCGATGTGGAGGAAGATGAATGTATTTTTTTTTTTGAAAATCTGTAAAAATATAAATCAGTGGAACTAATCTTATTTTGAGTCCATGTCAAGATTTGATTCCATTTGCAACGGTAAAATAGATTCTATCATCGATCAGGATCGCAGTGCCTTCAGCTCGTCGCAACGTGTAGTAACACACAGCCAGGCTGGAACCCTCTCACATTATTATTATTATTATTATTATTGGTTCCATTTCTACCGAAGCAGGATACAATTTTACAACCAATCCTCATCAGTTCTTGCAGTAATAGAACCTATAAACTCATATCTTAGCAATGCTAACTCTATGATTTTGCGATTCAAACAGTTCCATTCTATTACCACAAAATTGAAGAAAACTTTTACTTTTCAAACCTTAATGCATTCATTTTCAACTTTCTATCCACAAACCACATTTCTCAAAATTTAAATTCCAATCTAAAACAGTTTAAAAAACTTTAAAGCATTCAAAGTTGAAATGCCATTTATGATTCATAAAACTGCTTCCATTCTTCGACATTTAAAATTGTTCTGCATAACAAAAGCAAACAACATGATACACCGAAACAGATATGAATGACATTAATAGCTGAAAAACTTTCAATAAAAATGAAAAAATATATTTTTGCACAATAGAAACTTTTTCATTACAAATTGATGCTGTCTGGTGTAATATTCTCTGACGGGAATGAATCCATTGCACTATCATTCACCTTCATTATTTCGTAAGTAATCGAAATATTTTTTTTTCAATTTCCTTAATGAAATGGCAAAAAGTTTTTCTTTTTGACTCAGCCAGAGAAGACAGTCGGTGACGATCGGATCTAACATGACTCATGCTTCCACGAATAGCACAAATCGGTTAATCGATCAGAATTCCGGTACCAAGCTGTTGTAATTCTGACATGGTGTTGGTCTTTAAATCAAATCCGGCACAATACAAGAGTCAAACCTGCTTGGCGTTGGATTTATATTCAACTAACCGATATGTGCAATTCGGGTTGATTTTCGTATACTGACCGAATTAGCTATGACAGTGGTCGGTAGTCTCCAGGATACTCAGGTCACTAATAATTAACACTATCCATTATATTCCATGTCATTATGCCTATGTCTGGTCTCAGTTCACCAACTCTGATCTCAACAATGCATTTCTGGTTGTACTCATCGCAGTCTTGTCGCTCCTCTTGTTCATTCTGTTACCAATAAAATAAAAGAGGAAAATCGTTTTCATTTCAATAAGCAAAGTTTGCATTTCTTCTTTATAATCACAAAAGCTTTTTGCTTCTTCTACTGTGCCATTTTACTATTATTACTGCTGCTACTGCCAAATTCCCATGAAGCAATATCATTTGAGTAGAAAGAGAAAAAAAATTTATAAGATGAAAAGGGGAAAATAATCCTCATCACGACATTTTTTCAGTTCTTCCTTTTCTATACTTTCCTTCAGTTATTTTTTTTTCTTTAAAAAATGGTAAGATTACGACATAAAGCTTCGTTTACAGTCTAAGACAATATTTCATACCCGCTGTCAACCCTATAGGGATATTTCAGACCGCATTTTTCTTTTCTTATTTGAAATGTTCTTATAAATAATTGAGCTTGTTGTTGGTTTGGTTGTTTGACTGTCCGTAAGGTGTGACAATCATTAGGAAGGATCGATTTGAAGGTTTGGGATCTTCGCTAATGCTTAACAGAATTGACTTGAAAGAGTAATGTGATGAACTTCATGAGACGTCAAGTTCAACTACTTTCTGAAAGCAAAAAACCAAGGATGGAAGCCTCAAGTATTCAGCTAAGCTCAATTTTTTTCTGTTCAGTGGCATCGCTAGAGAGTTTTAGAATTCATTTCTATGGAATTTTAAGTCCTATTAGGATTTTGTAACAACTTGTCAATTTTTTTCTGTTCAGTGGCATCGCTAGAGAGTTTTAGAATTCATTTCTATGGAATTTTAAGTCCTATTAGGATTTTGTAACAACTTGACTTGCTTCACTTCTGTGTCTCGACCACCAAATTCTGTTTATAGTCGATCGCAACCAATCACTCGTCAAAATACGCTCTAAGCATCCCTAAATGCAAACATTCAGACTATATTTTTCAAAAAAAAAAAGAAAAACCAAGAATGAAAGCAATAGAAAGGCAAACAGAGGCAAGGAAAAAGCAAGCAAACAAGATAAAAATGATGATGATGACGATGAAGAATAAAAAGGGAAAGGAGACAGAAGCATGAGAAAAGAAAGAGAGCTGCTCATTTAACTGTGAAGGATGTCATATCTGTCAAGTTATGATTTGAATGAAACATGACATGTATGTCTAAATAAAATAAAAATGAAAATTTCTCTTCTTTGTCCCACTTTCTCTTGGTGCTGTGCTTCTTATCTAACATTGGAATTTGTAAAGGAAAATATGGAATCATGATGTGAAGCATATGGAGATGAATGAACAATGATGCAGGTTACGTGAAGAATTTCTTTTTTTCTGCTACTCCTCCGCAAAAAAAAGGAAGGCATAAGAATGTTTGCGTAGGAAAGAAAAATGTTCCTAGAATCACAATATGTATCTAAAACGGAAATGAGAAGGGATGAAGAAAAATTTTCATTTGTAAAAGCAATCATCATAAGCTTTTTTGGAACCTTTTTAAGTCTCGTTTAGTTGTGCGTACGATCATCATTTGTAGACGTGTCAAAATGATGCAGCTTGAAGGATGTGTGATGAATTAGGCTCATTTCCCGACCGATAAAGATTGTGGATATGGAATTACGTGAATATTGTGGTTTTAGGGCTGAATTCTATCAGTTATGTCTATACACGTACTTGATATTATTGTATCGAGAAAATTCAATGCCCGATGTAGAACTTCTCATTGATCCTTCATAATAGTTTTTTACGTCATTTAGGATTGTGAAGCTGCAAGAAACTTAAATTATTCTAATTTAATGACTTCAAGCTGCAACTTTCCAAGCAAAATAAGAAAATGTCTGTCAAAACAAACCAATCCAGCTATAAAATGCAATCTCAGAAGCTGCTACAAACAGAAGACTTAAAATTTTTAATAATATTTTAATTCCAGATATAAAATCCTTATCCAAACAAGCGAAACTGTCTCTTTATTTTCTTTAACTTATGCAAATTAATCCAACTAAAATTTTTAATCTCTTTCTCATTTTATCCTCAAAAAATATATTCAACTTCTGCTTATCGTTCTCATAATCTCATATTTACCAGATTTTAAAATAATATCTGTATATAAACAAATTAAATTTTCATGACTGAGTTAAGGATCAAGAATATCAACAACAATCATGATGAGACTTTATTTATGCAAAATCATCACGCTCGCTTTATTATCGTTGATGTATGTCTGAGTGTATGTGCATACATAAATCAGATGTCAGTTATGTGAAACGAAAGATAACAACAATATATACACATGTTGTCTTAATTATATTTGTGAACCTTTTGTTTGAGATATTTTTAGATTTGAGGATGAAAAATACTTTATAAAAAAAAACTTTTTAAAAAACTACGTTTTTCGCGTAGACTAAAAAGTAGAAAATAACTTTTATTCTTGGTTGTAAAGAATTTGGTTTTAAATTTTCAGATTATATTTAATAAATTTTTATATCCTAGTCAATATTGTTCACAAAGTTTCGAAACCAAAAAAAATTGATTGAAGTGAAAAGATTATTTTTAAAAAATTAAGTGTTTAAATTAAATTAATTAAATCAACGTAGACACACTCTAGAATAAACAGTATTGATAGTCAAGGATTGCATAAAGAATCAATAGATACGCGCTTGTATATGGTCTAATTCACAAATTTTGTAAACTACGATTGTTTTCGGTAAAAGGATAAATATAAAACAAAATATATCAGTGGATTTATCGACCTGTGATTCTAAAATAATTTGAGTTTGTACGAGACATCCCATCGAAGACATCTAGTCATAAATAATTGAGTACAAGGTCTAATAAGGCAACAGATTAATTAAAATCAATATTCTTCTATCTGGAAATTTCGAGAACAAAAAAAAACAACGACAATTGCAATAACAATCACATTTTGTGTGGTGAGTTTACTATATGAGAGGTGAATTTGGTGCATGTAGAAAATTTAAATTACTATTTAACGGAAATTCACATAGATACATATCTAACATATTTTGAAACTAACTTGTCGCTAATAACAATTATGGCAGAAAAAGAAAACGAGGTTTTTCTCAAAAAACCATTGCTTGATCGGACGCCGAAGCGTAGTAGGAACTCTAACCAAATTACACCAACAAGTTCAACTCAAACAAGCGAAAAGAGCATAAACAAGCGTGATCTGGAGAATATAACTCTCGCTGATCTTTTTCTTTTAATTGAGTCGAAAAGTGAAAATCACTCAAAAAAGCTGGATGAATTGAGCATCAATTTAGGCAATGACATCGCAAACTTTAAAGCCGAAATAAACCAAAAAATGGACGGATCACTACAAAACATTAATAACAAAATTGACATCGTTGAAGAAAAAGCTGATCAAAGTTTACGTATTGCAATGGAAAGTCAAAAACTATGTGTCAATTATATGAAACAAGCTCGTCTTGACTGCTGCATGGACATCTCTGGATTGTTATTCAATGATGTTAATACTGATTTAAAGTTGCTGGCTGTTAATACTATTAGATCATTTAAGATCAAAGTTGATGATGCGGAT